TTTTAAAAGTAACCCTGCACAAGATCATGTTTTTCTCAATGTATGTGAATGAATTATTTATTGGTGTAAGGGTTTAAGTGTTTTTATTTTTGCCCATTTTTTAATTATATATTTACATTCTCAAAATAGTTTTACAGTCTTAAGAATTTGTTACAAATCATAAATACACAATGTTTGTAGCATAACCCTAAAGTTGTTGTCTGACATTGCCCACATTTAAGTTTCAGACTAAAACTGTCAGAATTTTAAAAGTAACCCTGCACAAGATCATGTTTTTCTCTATGAAGTGAAAGTAACCATATTTTAAGTTCCATGTTTATGTTTATCCTGATCATCTCTTCCTGTCTGTTTCTTTTCCCCCAGTTTTATGCGTCAGCCGCTGCTCCTGGTCTCTTTGGACGGATTCAGAGCTGAATACCTGCAGTCATGGAGCACTCTCCTCCCTGTTCTGGACAAACTCAGTAAATGTCAACCTTATTACATTGGCCTGTACTGGTACTGTTCATTTTAGGGCAAACCTGATTACTTACTGAAAACTGAGTTTGTTGAGGTCATCCTCGTTTTACATGGCTGTAATAAAATAATAATTCTTACCTTCCTTACTTACCTGAAGCGATATGTCAARTATTTATCATTATAAGCAGTGACGTCAATCAATAATACAGATTATGATGAAGTCTTCTGGGTGGCTGGGCTAATGGCTAACTAAATGAGAGCCTAYTACTTTTTTGCATGACACCATTTGTTTTATTCCATAATTCTGCTTCTGCACACAGCTGATACAATGACCCTGCTTTTTAACCTGCAGTAACTTTAAGGCATGTAGCAACCTGATTTTCCAATGAACCAGTTCACCTCTTTTGGGTGCTTTTTTGTGTGTTTGTTTTCTTTTAATAAATCGTAATTATCAGATGTCGTTACATAAATGGTTTTAGAGAATGTGGTTAGTCAGCTGCCAAATCCCATGCACGTATTCAAAGGAAGGTTTAAAGTAAAATATGTTTTTTCCACATCAATGCACTGATGTTTGCAGGAACATGCGGGACATCTGCTTCATTCATGCAGGCTGCGTTTCCAAGCAAGACTTTCCCAAACCACTACACAATTGTTACAGTAAGGCGATAAAACCATTCATATTTCTGATGACCTAACACTGGACATATGTACGACGGATTATTAGGGCCACACAACGAGATTTTTTAAATTGTTATTATATTATTATTATTATTAGATTAAAGTCGTAATGTTACGAGAAAAAAGTCATAATCTTGACATGTATTTCCCCTTCTTAATTTCCTCCTTATTTTCCCCACACCTGCAGTGTACAGCCATGTGTCTGTGTTTATAAAGTAGTCAATGATGACTCAGCTACTGTTGGATTAATGTTTTCATCCAAATTAGCTACGTGACGGCTAAATCCGTCAATGCATCCATTAATTAGCTACAATACGGCTTCAGTTTATAGTCATTTGCACAATTTCCAAGTCCTGCTACTGATAATTTGATGCTAATGTGCTAAAAGAATAACAATTTGTTTATAGCAATACTAAAGAACAAATTGACAAGTTGCTCAACATTCCTCATTTTAATGCAGTGGTAACTGCATCCTTTCTTCGTGTAAAGGCTACAATAATATGACTTTTTTCTCGTAATGTTATGACTTTAATCTTGTAACATTACGTAATGTTACAACTTAAATCTTGTAATATTATGTCTTTATTCTCATAATATTATGACTTTATTTTTATATGATTTTAATGTGTAATATTATGAC